AAATTTCATGTGGAATAAATATTGCAAAAATAAAAAATACCTATGCTAGTGCAATGAAAAGGCGGATCTCAGGTGTGGAAGACGATGCTTGAAAATAGAGATATTTTAGAGAAGAACATGTGGTGGGAACCAAGAGGAGGCACCACAAACATTTGGTATGAAAACTGGACCAAATTGGGGCATTTATGTCATGAAGCAGATTGTATTATTCGACCAGAAATGAAATCTATAAATGAGCTAATAAATAAAGAGGGATGTGACCTAGACAGAATCCAACAAGTACTGCCGGAGAGAATTGTTAATCATGTACAACAACAATTAAGCAATGTTATGCCTAGTACTTTGTCTGACAGACCTTGGTGGCTACTCAATAGAACTGGAAAGTTTAATGTTAATTCAGCTTTGGAATTATTAAGAGAGAAGCAAGAAGAAAATCCTCACTACAAGCACATTTGGGTGAAATGGCTGCCATTTAAGTTTGGTTTTTTAACTTGGAGAATATGGGGTAATAAAATTCCAGTGGCTACTTACATTTTCAAGTGGGATAGCAATGTGAGCACAGATTGTTTATGTTGTACAGTTTCTGCTCCTGAAATCATACAACATCTCTTATTAATATGTGATATAGCGAAAAGAGTATGGACCTATTTTACAAATGTTGTTGAACTTCATGGTCCTTGGATCCAAATAAAGCAATCAATACAGAAGTGGAGAGATGCTCCTGGCAATGTGAAGCTTAAGGCAATTTTGGATGCAGTCCCTATTTTAATTTTGTGGTTTCTTTGGAAAAGAAAAAACACAATTTTACATGGGGTATTTATCCTTATGAAAAGGTTATTCATGAGATCAATAATACTATTCATAAATTCACAATTAGCAAATTCCCATTTTTTCAAAACTTACCAAGGACCTGGCCTGCTATTGTGAATGTACTGGAAAAATGGCAGCCTAGGTTTAGACACAAAATTGTGAGGTGGATGCATCCTCCTGATGGATGGTATAAATGCAATACTGATGGTGCTTCTAAGGGTAATCCTGGCCCTAGTTCGGCTGCATTTTATGTGAAAAATTGCTTTGGAGACATAGTGGTGGTGAAAGGGAGAAGAATACCAAATTCCACTAGCCTTGTAGCAGAAGCTGTTGCAATAAATGAAGGCATTATGTTCTGTATTGACAGAAATCTATTACCCCTTATAGTGGAAACAAATTCTCACACTATGATTCAACTTTTGGAGGAGAGATGAGAGGTCCCTTGGAGTGTTGTTATGGAGGTTGAGGCTGTTAAAAGAATGAGGGAAGGTGTCCCTATTCATGTTAAACACACTCTAAGGGAAGACAGCACTCTGGCTGATTTCTTTGCTAACATGACTGTTAATTTTGCAGGTACTTACATGGTGGAAAATTTTCCGGATATTCCAGCAATTGCAAAGAAAATACTCAGCATGGATAAAATAAACATGCCTTTTTTGAGGATGACACAACTAGACAACTGATTAGTATATTCACAGGTTTTCAGTCACATAGTCAGCAACTATTGGAACAGAACAAGAGTTTGATATCTACAATTTTGCCTGAAGTGATTTCAGAAAGCCTAATTACTATACCACCTGGTGAGATTTTAGGGTGTACAATGGTAATAAACTTAGGCAAAGTAGTGGGGACGTCTCTTCTATGTATTCGTTGCAACTCTGTGATTATCTTGTAGTATCAAATTTAAGGGCAACAAGTTGCTAGATGGTCATTGACTTTGTTTTCGATAAATCCTTTTGATGAGTGGTATTAACCTCTTTGAGGTTCATTCTGTCAAGGGATGAGTTAGAAGCAGATTCATGCCATATAGTGACTTGTTATCAGGTAAGTATAAGAAGTAATCTAGTAGTAAATTAGCAGATAATCTAGAACCTAGAATTTATCTTTTGATGTGTGGTATTAGCCTCTCCGAGGTTCATTCTATCGAAGATTAATAATACAGAAAATATTTGATGCTAGTTGATTACTATGTTACGAAATTATTTTCCTTACACAGTGGAGATTTGTAATTCATCTCAACTTTACAATTTTAATCATCTAAAGACTATCAGAATCAATCTTCTAACAGATTTCAATGAATGTAAGATCTAGTAATTTGGGGAATAAGCAAAGAAGAGCAATGACTAATTACCTCGAGCATCAGTCTTCATCCTTCATCGATTAAACCCGAAATCTCGAGACAAGACAAGAACCTAACTACTAGAGCCTAGGAGTACATGTAAACTTCAAATAGTAAGTGAGATTTCTTTATACGAAAGGAAATACACTTAGCTGGAGGTATTACATTTGGAGAACGACGAGACGAGCATCTGGTCTCCTCACTACCCTTCACGAAGTGGAGAGGTCATTTATGGAGGATGAGTCCCACCGGAAAGTAGCCGCCGATCTGAAGTGGCAGATGCGAGAAGTTCCGTTCCAAACATCACTTTCCCTTTTCCTTTTCCATTTTAGGCAGATGCCTATTTTGGTT